GTAATGTTTTCGGTTCTTTAATTATAGGTATTTCTAGAAAAGCTTTTTATATGATCACTTTGGTGTGCCTAAGATTTCCAGCTTGCCTTATCAAATGTTGATAGTAGATACAAGTGCAGCTTTAATGAGGCTACAGCTTGGGAGATTAAAAAAGTTGATGATAAAAATCTGTCCTTGTATCACACAATTATTGAGTCACGATCAAAAAATGTATATGTAGAGTAAGAATTCATAGTGTTCAGAAGTCTCAGCATTTTCAACCACAAAACAGAAACAGACTGTGCACCGACCAATAAATTTCGAAGCAAGTGGCTTCAAATTTTCCCACTACAAAAGTAGTACAAACCCAGTGCATAGCCATCGATTTCCCATCTTTTGTTCCCAGATGTGAAAGGTATCATGTAATGGAGATCAGAATCCTTGGAACATGAGAATGATCAAAAGAGAGATGAGAAGGATGATAACTATCATGAGTCTATTAAGCTTATCTACTTAAATTAGAACTCTTACCGTCATCGTCTGCGATACGCGTGGAATCTACTGTGACTAGCTTTGAATAGCTGCTACCATGATGTTTTGTTCGCGGTTCAAGCTCATTTTCCAACTTTCCTCGATTCGTATAAGTTTGCTCTTTCTTAAACCTTTTCTCAAATCATTATCAAGCAATGCGTCATTTCAGTCTACCGCTTGCAGTGTTTGCCACGCTCGTTTCACCATTAATTGCTTGTGAAGGTCCTCATGCAAAGACTTGTCCTAATGATCCTGACCACTCCATCGTCGTTGATCAATCGGGTGCATACCCCGGAAGTTACAAGACCGTCAAGGAAGGTGTTGCGAATCTTTCCCAAATGAAATCAAACCTTTTTATCTACCCAGGTGAATACCTTGAGCAAGTGGTTATCCCAAGTGGGTTGACCAATGTGACTGTACAGGGGTTCACATGTGATACGACCACGTATGCATTGAACACAGTGACAATTACGCATGCGAAAGCACAACGTGATCTTCCTGCGAATGAAACTAACAATCGCAATTTCCAGACAAGTACTCTTGGTATCAAAGCCGATCAGTTCAAGATGTACAATATCAACGTTGCCAATACAGCTGGTCCGATTCGAGTGAATGGACAAGGTGTAGCTGTGTTTGCCAGTGGAAAAGATCATGGATTTTACGCCTGCAGCTTCACGGGGTACCAGGATACATTTGCTGCCAGCAACGGTCGTATTCTCATTGTTTCTTCACATATCAGCGGCACTGTTGACTTTATCTTTGGTCAAAAAGGCTTGATGTGGGCCGAGAAATGCGATATTGAGGTCCTGGGTGATGGCTGGATCACTGCTAATGGAAATAACAATTGGACTCGGGAATCGGAGTTTGTGTTTAATCGTGCAACTGTTTATGGTATTGGTCGTACCTTTCTAGGTCGTCCATGGCGACCATACTCCCGCTGTATCTGGCAAAATAGTTTTCTAGGAGAAGTGGTGGATCCACAGGGTTGGTCGAAGTGGAACGACGATTCGGTAGACAATGTTTTCTATCGAGAATTCAACAATCAAGGCCTTGGTGCTACCATGGATCAACGCGTATCGTTCAGTGGTTTATTGGGTTGTGCTATGACGATTGAACAACTCCTTGGAAACGTTGTTGGGGATTTCATTTACGACAGTCGATTCATGTAGCAGCTTTTTGACTTTTAGGATAAGCACAATCATTGATAAAAATATTTTTTTAACTTGAAAGCTACTTCTATTTCATTCAAACCTTTAGCATCTTTTCTTGACGTTTGCTCATCCTATGATCAGCAGTTGTTGATGGGGATGCATCCCACACCTCGTTCTTTGCGCCTATCGACCTCATCAAATCTTAAGAATGGCAATGTAGTAAATACTAGGAATATCTGCTTATGTTAGATTTGACCTCACTATTTGAAAAGATAGTTCCTCAGCACAAATTCATCGAAAATGTCTACATTGATTCCCAATTGCTTGCGTCAGCTCAGGAATCAGACAAGAAAGGATCAGCATAACGCGTGACAAATGAATGAAGAGCATTATCAAAAGGTACAAGCCTCAACGTTTCTATGAAAATGGCACATCTACGCGTACGTTAAGAGCCGTGAATCTCACACCTCGTAAAGGGGAAGGATTAAGACAGAAGACTTGTCTTATATAAAAAAGATGGATCGTGCTAAGACGTTACCGTTGATATTTAAGATTCCAATGTGTAGCTGTAGCTACATTCGATCTTCGATCAACTTGTACATAAGTCGATTTTGTCGTTTCTGACTAAACGTGTTAAAAATATTCCAGGTCGTTTCAAAGACATTCGACGTTTAGTAACTTAAAGTAAGATAGTGATGGATGATGTTTCCAAGAGTGAGAGTCGAAGTGTGGAGCGAGTGAAAGTTTTCTGTCGTGTAAGACCTTTACTACAACGTGAACGCGATGGATGGAGTTATGATGAATATTGCCAGCATTTGAATGAAGATAATCAACGTTTAGATCATAACGAGAGTGAACACCCTGCTACTGAACTCACTCCCGAGACTTCCGAACCAGATCTCGTAACTTTTATTACGGAAAAGGGTCGTCAATGTACTCCGTCATTGCTACCATCCGTAATCATGCAGTCAGATGATCGAAGTGTGACGTTTCAAGCTTCTAATGCAGCACATGGAGAAGTGCGATCGTTTGAATTTGATGGGACGTTTACCGAGACTTCTACGCAAGAAAAGGTCTTTGATCGTGTAGCAGCTCCAATTGTCGAAGATGTTATGGCAGGCTATAATGGTACGATCTTAGCATACGGCCAAACAGCGACTGGTAAAACACATACAATGGTAGGACCAGATGATCTTGTTCAAAACGATGAACGTGGAGTGATTCCTCGTGCACTTGAAGATATTTTCACACGTGCTGAAGCGACTCGAACGCATGCAAAGACGACAGTTGCGTTAAGTTACGTACAGATTTATTGTGAACGTCTGTTTGATTTATTAGAACCTGAGACTGTCCCAGGTTCCATTTTAATTCGAGAAGATATCGATCGTGGGGTTTACATTGATGGAGCAGCGATTGTTTCTGTGGCTACTGTTGATGAATGTTGGAAGCTATTGAAGCGTGGGAATGAACATCGTGCTGTTTCTAGTACGCATATGAATGCTCAGTCTAGTCGTAGTCATACAATTCTCATCCTTCGTATTGAACGGAAAGAATTTGCACCATCCAGTACAACTCATCCAGTCATTCGTCTCAGTCATTTATACTTAGTCGACCTTGCAGGATCTGAACGTGTGAAGAAAGCACGAGTCTTTGGACGACATCTAAATGAACTCAAAGCAATTAATTTAAGTCTCTCTGCACTCGGGAATTGTATCTCTGCACTTAGTAAACAATCTCAACAGACTCAAATGAGTTACCACGTTCCATATCGCGATAGTAAATTGACGCGCTTATTACAATCGAGTCTAGGTGGGAATGCAAAGACAGCACTTATCATCACAGTCACACCTGCACTTACTGAAGCTCTCGAGACACTCCAGACATTACAATTTGGCCATCGAGCAATGAAAGTGACTGTACGACCTCATCGATCAGCTTTGTCTGTGCTTGATTATCGAACATTATACGAAGAGATGCGACAAGCTCTAGATGAAGAACAAGAGCGTTCACAACAAGCTCAAGTTGTAGCTATTGAAGAGAAGAATCGAGCGAGAAATGCTGAAGATCAATTGACTCAAGCTCGTTCACAGATTCAAGTTTTAGAATTTGAGCTCAAAGCAGTGCGAACTGCTACAAGACATGATCGAGAATCTGTTGATCGAGACGATGATCTTGAGCAAATGCGAGTGGAAATTCAGCATCTTGTTACGCAACATGCACAGGATGTTGCTCAAGTGAATAATGCGTGTACACGACAAGTTGAAACGTATAAACGACTTGCAGATGAAGCGAGTCAGGAATGGCACGATCTTGAAGGAGAATTAGCGGGTGAAAAGACTCAAGTGCTTCATACATTACGGGAATTGAAGGAGTTCAAAATGCGTTTCTTTCAACTTGAAGAAGAGACGACGGAACGAATTGCTGAGCTTGTGCAAGAAGAACGAGATTGTAAAAAAGAACGCAATGGAGCGATGGCTACAGTGAAAATACTGGAGAAAGAGTTGGAAACATTGCGAGTTCAGGTACTTCACTTTGATTGTCTTGTTGGAGAGTTTGAATGTGCCTTGTTGATAGTAAAGTTGTATGTTGGTGCAGATAAGAGCAAGTGAGACTCAGCGTGAAAAACTGCAAGATCAACTTGATGCTGAGTTTGTACCTAAGGAAACTGTACGAAGAGTAACTTGTATGACTTGCTATCAAATCAGATCGTGTCTAACCTTATTGTTCAGCTCCAGCAAATGGAAGATCTGTACGAAGGAGCAATTTCAAAGCTTCAAACAAGAGTTGGTTGTCTTGAAAAGAAAGCACTTGATCGTAGAACAATCTCGAGTATCAAGAATAGCAATAACAACACGGGACAACAACGCTCATTGCCAGAGATCAGAAAAGCAAGCGCAGTTCCTAAAATTGGACGTATGGGCCCAGGCACGTCATCTTGTCGATTTAATGCCACGCGTACCTTGCACTGAAGTAGCAGACGCTACAAAAGCGTATATTACGTTGCATCAAAACGTGTTGCACAGACTACTCAATAGTGTCGTCGTCATCTTCGGAATCAAAGTCCTAGGAAATTCGTAATAAATGTTAAAAGCTATCAAACATCATTAAATTTGTTACTGGATACCTGATACTCATCCCATGCTTCTTCGACATACGAGAGAAACTTGATAAGCGAATCTGATGACGACGAATCCTTTTCAGTGATTTCTAAAAGTGGATAAAACGTTTCACTTGTAAATTCCACTCCTCGTGTCGCTCCTTGTCGCATCAAGTCCGTCACTTGGTCGTATTCGTGACTTTTTACAAGTTCAAGAAGCACTGGCAAGAACGTTTGTTCCATCGGACACACATCTTCACCTCTTACAATGTCTCGTAATATTTCCGTAGCTTCATCTAATCTCTTTGCATCCACTAGCGCCGTCAAGAGTCCATTGTACGCAGGTAAGTCCAACACAACAGCTTGATTCGATGCTTCATCGTATAGCTAAATGAACGGATTCAATCAGTCCGAACTCTTGAATCGAATAAAGAAATATAGAAATGAATCGCACCTCCATTGCTTGATCCAACATACGAAATCGAAGGCATGCATCCATTACATAAATTGATGCTAATTTCATATAGTCGTCTGGTTTAAGACCCGGAGATTGATACACTTCACGTAGGACTTCAAAAGCCTGAAGCGCATGTGCTCGATTCTTTTTCTGTCTAGCCAAAAGCACTGCAAGCTGTTTCAATACAGATGCATCAGGTGGTGTCTGAAGCTTTGCCAATGCACTCAGTGCTTGTGTAGGATGGCGCTGGGAGATTGAATGCTTCAAGAGTGTTAAAAAGTGGCTATCATTGACATTGGAAAGCGTGTTTTTGGACTTAAGAGGAGCAGCAGACAATGCAACAGACATCTGGAGAGATGTGGATACATGAAAATGCCGTAATGTTGATTGCAGAGGACGTCGCAGCGCAAAAGTTAACGAGGGGAGCGCGGGCATTTCGGTTGTAGGTGTTGAAAGAGGAAGCAAAAATTGCATAAGTTTATTTCATCTTATATCTGTTATTGTACAAGTTACCATATCCTGTCGAAATTAATTATATGATTAACGTTAGAATTTCAAGCTTTTTAACAAGGTAGCTCCGTCTACAATCTTCATAAGTTTTAACTTGCTCTTCTGTAATTGTTTCGTCACTGCTGATTTGCTGACCGTGTGTGTTGGATTAAACTAACAGATCGTGGGCAACCGTGACATTTGTCGCGTCTGTTAGGAATGCCCAATCCAAATGTACCGCATATAGAAAACTATTTTTGCACGCAGTCCATAGTTTGGGGGCCATTAGCGCGACGCGTGACAAGCTGTTGCTCCATATGGACGGAGCAGTGTCATGTAAAAATGAAAAAAACACTTTTTCAGAAGGAGAGGTAATCCATCTCTGCTCTATAAACCTGGACGCTTAACAAAGGCGATCACAGCGTGGAAGTCGGTTGTGTTCCCAAAGACGCCGGATTAGGATGATTACGAACGTTTCGTGCTAATATATTCTCATTGCTTGTAAGAGCCTTCCAGTCAGCGATTACGATTTTGGACCTTATACCGCCAAGTGTGTTAATCCTACGGGAACAACTAAAACAGAGTATGTCAAGCGTGTTGTATTGTCATAAGGACAAGTAAGTGAAGATTGAATGTTCTATCCCCTGCGGGGATAGAGTCTTTTACAGACTCGGATGTCACAATGACAAAAGTGCTAACAAACGCAGCTGGGTTGCTGTGTCCCCAGGTTCGCGGAAGATTGGTTTCTATGTGTCCGCATTTAACAACGTAGAGTGGATAGAGTCTTCGGCCATCACTACAACCATTGGCTTGGTACCGTGGATCTAAAAAAACTCTTCTAATTTAATGAGCTCATCAAGATATAAGTGCTTGTAAGCTTAAGTGTATATTGCAATAAATTAGAATTATCTAATTCTCACCCCGTATTCTGACAAGCATTGTCATGTTGATGATATCTTCTTGCTGACAAGTTAACGAAAGCGAACAATGACCCACACATTTGTTGATATGAGGTGGCTTCAACATAAACACCACAACAACGTTTGTTTATAAACTTAAGCATCACCATTCTTGCGTACTTTTGTAATCCCGGCCACATAGTGTTTGAGTTAAAGTACCCTCACGTCAACCAGGTTAACTCACTTGTACCGCAAATGTCGTTTTTAAAGTTAAACAGCGGTTGCTTATTGGTAAGTCTGCAAGGATCTAATTCAAAGTGGAGCAAGCTCACTGGTAGCATTGAAAAGACACTAACATTAGTCTACCTTGCCAATTTTCATTTCGATAGTTCAATACGACAACACAAGCCGCTTCCTAATGAGATTTATCTCTTCAAAAATGCTGGCACTTGTAGTTTCTGTAGCTTAGTGGCAACACTATAGCAAGTACTCATGGTGCTCTCCACTACTTTAGCTCCTGCCATGCATTTCCTGTCTTAAATGAGCTCAAAAGTCGATGTTGAAACAAAGCTTCAATCTTATAAATTCGATACTTTTGAGCAGCGCAGCATGTCTATCGCACGTCACAAAGCTATTCCAGGCTTTAAAAATCTCTGTTAGAGCATTTGTTGAACATGGTTGTAATGTGGACAATCGTAGTACTTGATCCTGGACAGCATATCATTGAGTATTCGTCTGTGGAGCTGGAGTCAAACACATCCAAAAAGCTGCGAATTTAGCAGTTGAGAAGGTGATTTTGCGAAAACTCGTCGATAATTAAGGCCGAGCTTGCAAAGGATTAAGCCCGCGATAGATTACCTTGACTGGATGGCGACATTGTTTCCGCTACTGACAAGAATGACCGTAAATCTGGTCTTGGAAATCAAACTTTATGTTGATGTGGTTTAATAAAAACAGTCAACGATCAAACGATGGAGGCTGTTTCGAAGAAATGAGACAAGAAATGGAAAAAAATATGAATACAATTCCAATCGTGGGGTCGATGCTTGTGAGGGCAATCAAGTGGCTTTGAGTCAGCTGGACAGGGCACGCACGTAGTTTTCTAACTATTTGATTGCAATTTAATGAACAGAATCTTTGCTGTCTTACCGATTACGACGCATCATCAAATTCCACGCCTTTACCAACGGAATTTACGGCAATTATTAGGAGTCTGACGTGACAAGAGGTCAGTGTTCTCTTCAACCTCCTGCAAACATATTGCGTTAAGAACAAATTGATTGTAGCTTGTGAGTAACTTTATATCCCACAGTCGTGTCAGACAATGGAAAGATACGACTGCAATTCTTTTACCTCGTCTAACCTTCAGGCTTGATTTCATCTTGATAGATTGTTTATGGTTAGTGTGTTAAACAATTCCAGCGTATACAAGTCAAGAGAATATAAACTTCTTATCAATTAAAGTGATGGCTAGTTTAGACATTTAAGTATGAGCTCAAAAGACAACGCGCTTCTTACATAAAGCTACTATCGTAAAAGAAATCTCCTTCGACATCGCCAAGAATATCTTCGACTTTTACAGCTTTGTCCAATTGACCGCTAAAAGGCACGCGTTTGTCGGTGTTAGCACCAGGGCCTTTGTTCTTGAATTCCTTAAAGTAAACATTATCTGTCGGCCCGCCATTCCACTCCGACCATCCTTCTGGATCCACAATGTCGTCCAGGTAACTATTTTGCCACACACAACGCGAATATTTCTGCCACGGACGACCTAAGAAAGCGTGGCCCTTGCCGTTCACATCTGCGCGATTGAAAACGAATTCCGACTCGACATCGTCATCTTTGTTACCATTGGCAGTGATCCAGCCATCGCCAACGACCTCAATGTTGCACTTTTCGGACCACAGCATGCCATATTGACCAAAGATAAAGTCAACAGCTCCACTGATGTGTGACCCAGCAATAAGAATACGACCATTGTTAGCAGCCAGTGTATTCTGGTATCCTGTAAAGCTGCAGCCGTAAAAGCCATGGTCATTGCCTCCTGCGAAGACCGCTACTCCTTGTCCATTCACTGGAATTCGACCAGCAGTATTGGCCACGTTAATGTTGTATAACTTGACTTGATTGGCTTTGATTCCAATTGTGCTAGTCTGAAAGTTTTGATTCTTTTCATCTTTAGATAGGTCACGTTGTGCTTTGGCTTGGGTGATTGTCACTGTGTTTTCTCGATATTTGGTCGTATCACATGTGTATCCTTGGACAGACACTCGATCCAAGTCCTTAGGAATGACGACTTGTTCACAGTACGCACCCGGGAAGATGAAGAGGTTTGATTTTTTCTCATTTAGCTGAGCAATACCCTCTTCGACCGTCTTGTAACTTCCAGGATATGCACCCGACTTATCAACAACAATCCAATGTTCATGATCAGCAGGAGATGTTCTTGCTTGAGGACCATCGCAACCAGCTAATAGAGGTGTTACAAGCGTAGCAAACACTGCGAGTGGTAGACCAAACATGCGCATAACTTGACAGCGAATGACTTAGATCGAGGAAAGTTTGAAAGTGAGATTGTACTTGTGAACATCAGAATGTTAGAAGGTATTTAGCTTTCGCAGGGTTGCTATACGGCAGAGGTTTCAATCACGGCATTCGTCGAGACGATAGCTAACATACTTTCGTAAAAAGGTCCATCCATAGATAATTCTTGACACGAAGTTGGGTCTGTATAGAATTACTCATCCATCTTTTGATCATCATCGTGTGTATATATGATCCGAAGGTCATACTACCTTGATTACAACCCTACAACTAGATGCTTTCAATATCAAATATCTTTATTTCAACGATTATGCCAACGAAGTTTCCAGCGTGGATGACAACACCATAAGATGAAAAAGTCAGTTGACATGGTTCAGGGTCTTCTTTACGTGAATGTGCGGACTGCTGCTCACTTAAAAGGGTGAGATCCAGTGTAATGAGTGTTTTCTTTGTCAATGACCGTGAACAGCTTGCCTTCACGGACACGTATTATGGTCGAACATGCGACGATTTTGTAACCAATGACCGTATGTATACAAGTGTGGATAGACAATTTAATCTCATTGAAATCTTCTTGGGATAGTCTTGTATGATCAAGACTTAGTCTTGATGATTGATTAACCAGAACCTATTACATTGTTACGTTTCAACAACATCGCTGGCCATTTCTACCCAAATGTTCGGTTAGGTCACAAATAAATTCAACCTTTTTATTACCGAGCCGAATAGGATTTTATCAACTTTGAAACATTTGTCAGTAATAAATCTGACATTAGTCAGATATTTCTTGAGTCGAAAAATTGCAATTTAAAATCTTCATTGAGCGCTATTCCTATATGTCTACGACGACAAGAAGTGATTGAATATAGTCTTTGGATGTACAATATATAAGGATATTGCTGCACTTATTTAACTGTGCTTTGAACGTCGCCAAGCGTGACATAGGGAAATTTATCTGAAGGAAGTGGAAAATAATATTGTCGCAGGCAGCCACCAGTACCGGTAAGAAGTCAGCGTAACACACACGTAGTACCGGGTAATAGTTTAGCGTAGAACACATTGCACATCTCGGTGATTGATTCTGGGATTGTTCGTAGTTGGTATCGAGTCTCTTTATGTTCCAACGTCCTGTCTACTTACTTGGATGAGCGTAGAGCTTGCCCTCGCGTGAAGGGTCTGTATGTAGCCTGGCTACCATGTAGTACTATATTTTTGAGCTCGAGATTTTTTACTATATAAACATAATACCATGACACTTGGTGTATTTAATCGTTTGATTGTCGATGATAATATACATTTACTGCTATATGCGAGAGGAACAACCTTTCTAGCTTTTTCATGCTTAGAATGGTCATGTGCATAACGAACGCAACACTATACTATGTACCTGGATCAAAAACATCACCAAACCGACTCTCGGTGAAAACCGATAGGTCATACGAGTGCAATTCATGTTCAAGGCACCTATGCTGAGAGTGAGATCGAAATCCATAGGCGCCAGACTTTGTATTCGTTTTATCATGTTGCTACGCATGTAGACTACTTTTGCATGATCCGAATTACGGTGTACGTACACGTTAAACTTTTGTCCCTCGGATCAGAGATACCAAGATTAAGTACATGATGAAGTAAATTGACGATAGATGAAGCTGATAATGTATGGGTTTTGGCTTTTCACAGGTTTATTAAGATAGATAGTAAAATGCTCGATCCGACCCCGCCACCAGGCTATTGAAGAAGTCGGATTCAGAATATATAAAGCCACGATAACAATGTTATATAATCGTTGGCGAGGACACTCAAGAGCTATAAGTTGACTTTGATGGAACAGATACCTGACCACAACGCCGCGTATTGTTTAAAAAACGCATTGTGCGACAGCGACATCGATATTCACGGGGGAGTTTGCCAACATATCCGCGTTTTGTGTATTTACAGCTGCAGGTCGAGTCTTAAGCTCTAAACAATGTTAAAAATTACTTACTACAATGGATCGCGTTGCACAGCACGAAGAAATTAATTGAAAATTAAAAACATAGGTAGCGACAATGACGAATGAGAGTCTTCAAACTCCCGAAATGTGAGCGATTACATATTCATCACCCGCTTTTCATTCTATCAGATTTAGTTTACGGCTTATTAGCAAGGACGCAAATTAATCTTATAGTTCGCAAAAGTGCATGTATCGATATATTAAGATCGTTTAGTATAACGCTTTCATCGACGACGAGTTGATGAGTGTTTTGTTTGACCTTGACATTTGCATTTGGCTTTTAAACATCCTTGCTTTCAGTCATATTCGTGACACTCGCTATAATCTCAACTAAAATACTAGCAATCCATGTTGGCGGATAATTTTGTCGAATAATGGCTGGAGGTATCCTGTTACAATCTTGCTATCACCAGCAAGATGATACATCTTATAAAACGATCTACAAAGACCATAAGTCGGTATTACGAACGCATTTTTTGGCAGACCAGAAACAAAATGGACTACAACATTTTGCTAAGATCGACAGGCAGGCAAAAGGCGCTGACTTATGCGGCGACGATTTTCGGTTTACTGCGCCCAGGACAATCTTAAAGTCATTTTGGAATGATGGTAATACTGTGATATCATAAAAAAATGAAATTATGTGTCATGTGTAACACTTGGATTCGCTGCAATCTCTTTATAAAACTTAATTTTTTATTTTTTGTAAGTTTGTAAGTCTTATTTCCTTAAATTTTATTAACTACTACTAGATTGTATGTTACTGGAGTACAACTGTGTGATTGTAGTTGCGATTTTGTGCGATTGTGAATATATGATGCGGCTCCGTATAGAGAGGTCCGTGGTACACTAGTTTAGTATGATATATTGTAACTCGAATTACTGAATATAGCTTTTAATTTTAATTACACAAGCCGTGATTTTAAAAATAGTAAGTTTCAAATAGAGTACTTTTTGCACTCGATTTCTAAATACCAATGACTCATTTCTTAAAAATACCAATAATCCATGATCGTGCGTACGCTCCGAGCTCGCTGCACTTTCGTGCAAAAATCCTCCAATGCACTGAGAGCGTCTGTATCCTCCCGATGCTTACAGGTGTGCCATCGTCCGCTGACACAAACGTGCGTGCGATGGAATTCTTCGGCGACGAAAGAATCTGAACCAGTTGTTGCTGTGTCGGAAGCGAATACCTCTGAAATTGATGTGAAGATTGACTTAAGTACCATCGGAGCGGAAAAAGCGAAGGTGCTTACTGTTGCAGACGTGTTGAACGCGCGTGAGAAGGAACTAGCTCTCAACAAAACGCTATTTGACTTTGAAGAGTGGGAAAGCATTGCTGGCACGGTAAGTCTCCAAGTAAAATCGAAATCTCAAGCTTATCGATTGAATATCACAGGAGACGGTGCACGACGCAGTACTGGCGATGGTCGGGCGCAACACTGGATCCCTTATCGTAACGGAGGCTCATGAGGGGATTGTCGGTATTATTACAGAGAGGGATATTCTAAAAAAGATCTCGCCACGCACAGTGATGACTGAGGAGAAACATGTGCGCGATGTCATGTCTTCGCATATTATGTGTATCCATCCCAGCACAACTGTCATTGAGTAAGTGCGATACGATATCTTGGTTGTGCCGAAAGGCTCACGGGCTATGTGTAGTGCATTAGCAACGATGACAAAAGAGAATATTCGACACTTGGCAGTTGTGAATGGTGACATGGCGAGCGCTGTGAAGCGAGGATCAGTGCAAGAAGAAGATATGCGCTGCGTGTTATCCATAACGGATATCGTCCGAGCGTATGCAGAGTATCAATCTACAAAACGCAAGGAAGCGACAGCAGAATCATCGACTGACATTGAAGCGGAGGTGGACAAGAAAGCGATGGTTGCTGAAGGTGCTGACTGTGCGAAAACGGAAGCATCGGTGCCAGTCGATGCAGAAGCTACGAGGCCGTTTACTCCGGTAGTTACAGCGGCGGCGCTGCTAAAGAAGAAGCACAAACGCATTCAGTTGATTCTAAATACTCGTCCGGAAGATCACGTAACGGTGGCAGCAGCAGTGGAAGAGATGGCAAAGCGCGATTTTGGGGCCGTTTTGGTCGTTGACAAGGATCAGCGAGTTCTTGGCATCTTTACGGAGCGCGACTACATTCACAAGATTCTGTTTGAAGTGAAAGATCCCGCTCAAGTGCTTGTGACGGACGTTATGTCGCCGATTACTTCGGTTCTGCAGCTTGAGGATTCACTAGAAAAGTGTTGGGATCTGGCAGCCACGTCAAATTGTCGACACTTTCCTGTCATTGGCGTCATGCGTCAAGATCGCGAGAAGGAACTTGCTGGTATCTTGTCTATCAAAGATATTGTTCGGGAGATCTCGAAAGACCATGACGCGACGCCTGGTTTTCGTCTTATGGAGTTTCTCAAGTCCAAGATGGAGCTCAAGCGAACTGAGCATAAGCATCCAGCGACTGAATTAAAGTCCGAGACAACGGAAACAAAGACTGCATCGTTGACCAATGCGGTTTCTATACAAGAACCGAAAGAAGATGCAACGCGTGCGGTTTCCTCCGACACCAAGTTGAAGAACAGAGCAGAAGAACCTATCGTAACCACTTAAGTACACTCTCATCGGAAACGAACTTAGACAAAATACAGCTTCTGATTAATGTTAAATAATACATTTGTAGGCTAATCGGTCAAACCAAAAGGCAGCGGGTCATACGCAGCCTTCTTGGTCCCAGCACGTGGAACTGACATTTTACTTTCTGCCTCATTTGCGACGTTCGAGTACGATGCCCAATTACAGTAGAGATCTTCATCCCAATTTTTTTCAGTCGGGTCCTCCACTTGCACAGTAAGTCGTCGTACACCTAGTGATGTCAGAAGTTGCTGTGTTGCACGAAGTGCTGCACGAGGTTCACCATTGGGTAGAATGTGCACACTGGCTGCATAATGACCCTCTGTGAGTATCCAAATGTGCAGATCATGGACATCGTACACAGCCTCAAGTGCTCGAATGCGCTTTTCAACAAGACGTAAATCGAGTGCGGGTGGTGCGCCTTCCATCAAGATGTGTATACTTTTCTTCAGTATATCGATGGTCGTACCAAGTACTAAGCATGAAAATACAATAGTCGTGATCGGGTCAGCCATTTGCCACGACGGGTTATACCAGATCAAACCACCCGCAAGACACACGCCAAGGCTTTGTAAAAAATCACCTAATGCGTGAATATATGCAGCTCTGACATTAATGTTTTCAAATACTGATGATGATGGCGTCAACCCTACTGACACGCTTGTCGACTCTTCGACGCAGTCAATCAATGCCATGGCCGACATTGGAGTCTGCACGATTTCAAGCTCACCCGAACTGTTCTCAACTCCAAGCTTTTTAGGTTCATCACTCTGTTCGTGATCATGACCGTGGCATTGACTGTGGCTGTGTCCGTGCCCGTGACTGTGTCCATGTCCATGGTGATGTCCATGACCCAATATTTTCATCAGAAGAAGGTTGATACCTAGTCCAAAGACTGCGACGACAAACATAGCTCTTCCATCCACAGTCTGTTCGGCGCCTGGACGCCCTTGATCAATTAGTCTCCTGACAGCTGTGAACATGAGGCCTACAGCTAGTACCCAGATCAACAACACGCTCAATAAAGCTCCAATCACCTCAGCACGATGAAAGCCAAATGGCATTTTAGCTGAAGCTGGGAATTGGCCTAAATATATGGCAAAAAGCGTCACAAGGAAACCGGCGACGTCCGAAAACAAATGGGCTGCGTCCGTCATGATGGCCAAGCTGTCGGCATAATAGCCGCCCGCAAATTGTATGCACATGAAGATAAAGGAACAAATACAAGCAAGCTGTAGTTTCTTCATGGCAGATTGCGCGTTGCTATCATCATCGTGTTTGTGTTCCGTTGCCACAAGGTGGTCGTGAGTTGCTACCTCTGACGCGTCCACCGGGATGCTCAGTCCGCACTGCTGATTTTTCTTTTGAGGTGGCGAGACTTCTTCCATGCTTGATTTACGAAAGTGACACGTGTGAAGTGATGTGAGATGAAGCCGGAATGGTAGTCTCCGATGACAAGTTGGGAGAGAGGTCGTCAATCGTACTCTGCAGATGGTATCAATTCATCATATTGTGGTTAAGTCAAAAATAGGATATTTTAGGTATTGTGATATGCTTAACGAAGGTACTCAGATTTGAAGTTGGTCGTAAAAACTACTGCGATATGAGAGCGGTATAAATAAGGGTTGAAGCCCTTGTAGGAAAATAAAGCCATTCCATACTCGCGTCACTTGCGTTTGAGTGCAGAATCCTTATTATGTTTTCTAATAAGGCAAGCTTATTTGACCCAAAAGGCTCGTTGATCACTGAGTGTGATATATGAGCGAATACACCCTTTTTTTACTTCATTGCATCGACTAACAAGATTTAAAGTATCTATTGCGGTGCGGGTACGACATATCGCTTTTCTTAGCGTATGAGTTCATTCGATGATGCCACGGAGGGTGTATTCTTTCATACTCGTAGAAGTTTCTGATGCAATGCTCCTGTTCCGACGTAATTAGCGATAATTTCCTCACTCGTGATCTGGTCAAGCCCCTTCTATTGCAGCTGACAGGGCGACTAATCCGGCGACTGATCGCTCAGTTTTGACGGGTTTTTTTAAGTCATCGGCTGTAACCTCTAAAGAAAGAGTCTTGATCGCCGCTGGTAGCATGAATCAATGGATTTCAATCGAAAGGCAAACATTGCCGATCTGGCGAGATCAAATTGGGCCACAATTATGCTTAAGATGAGTTTAGAGCCTATGATAAAAAGCGTTTTTTTCAATACACCATAGGATTTGATCTAAATGTACTTGAAAGCACCGCAGCACGCAGGTCTTTGCTATAAAACATTCAGAATAAATCTTAATTTGATGCGTCGTGTACATTCGAGAAGGTGTCGTTATTTATTGGCGTCTTGGCTTTACAAAGGCTTCAGACTTGCTCCCGGCAGCCGCATAAAGATTGCACTCGGCTAGCTTAGAGAGGCTAGGTCGAGAGCTGCGCGACATTAGCTTAGACATTGAGGGACAAGTACATGTTATGCATCGGTACTTTACTACGTGGGGTTAATTAAAAGCAGCCATCATGTGCATGCACAAGAGTTTTTGTCACTTCAATCTACATGACGGCTCGATAGTTTTACCAATGTCCCCGTCGCCAGATGCACGGATATAGTAACCGGATGTGGCATCTAGCGTATTGTCTAGTACTTTCAGCAGTCGCACGTCGTTTATAATCGCCCTACGCTTCTGAAGCTATCAGGATATTGCCAGCATCGCAAAGACCAAAAATTAATGAAAGCTTAAAACACAGGGGCTTTTTGTGCCCCTTTTACCGCTTGATAGGGAGGTACAACGGGTCGGGCTCCTCCACAAGTGCGACCGAAGAACCCCCTTGCGGGAAGATTTCGAGTCTCAGTTAGCGCAGGGTGGCCTAAAATAGAAAACTGACGCCATCGAACAACATAGGGTTTGTGGACCCAGTCTGTAAAGGAGCTACTATCATTAATTGGAGTGAGTCTCTCTAGCTTTCTTTCCTTTGCATCGTCAACATGGGCGAAACCCAAAAACCCTTATACGTAAGTGATCCATCCGAGGCTTCATGAATGTTAATCTATATAGCGTGTTTTCAAAATGTCTATATTCGGCGAGCATTCATCAAATTAAGTGCGATGTTAATTGCTTCCACCAGTCATTCAGTCGAAGCAGATTTATAGTAAAGCATACTGCGGGCCTTATCCATAATAGTCTGTTCTCCGTTTACTCTTTCCACCGAAGGCTATATGAAGCAGAACATTGGGAAACGATGCCTCCCCGATGACATATGTCGCACATCATTTTGTTGACGAATTACATATCGCTGTCAGATTCAGCATTTGAGTCGGACACCCTGTTATTATGAGGAAGGATACTTGGATTTCTCAAAGTTTCCAGCAACTTTGCTCTTTCTCTTGATCAAAGAAATAGCAACATGTCTCGCGTAGGTGGGGATATATTTTGCATCTGAGTCCGCATTGGACCCATGTATCTGTGTTCACGTGCTCCAGAACGTGTGTCGTCTTTGTCAACGAAAATGAGGGAAATGCCTTGACTGTCTGCTTACCCCTCGTCACCCGGCACACAGCGCTTATAGTTTATGCTTGATCATCGGGATGCGTTGGTCGAGCGCTGTATCTTGGAAAAGCATTCTTTAGGTTTGTGTGACCCATTCTAGCATAACATAGCTCACACTCAGCGCTGTCATTTCCACGTTACATACTTCTTCCTGCTCAAGGTCTAACATGTACGCTTTCCGATTCTTGTGCCCGATGCAATCGCTTTTTTGATCCAGATGACACACGTCAAATGTAAAAACTCTACACTCATGCTCACCCAAGTCCCTCTTTCCGCCTAAACCAGTCAGTTTTAATTGTTGCGGCTCCTTCAACGAGTAACGTGTTGCCAATCGCGATTGTTACTTTGATCCTTGTATCAAAGTCCTTGTATTCAAGCAATAGCGGGGTCATGCGGGATGTAACGCCACTATCAATAAGCCACTCTGCTGATCGTCTTTCGCCCACTGCAAATACCGCACCATCGCTGCTAACTCGTTTTCAATCGTGCAGCTCCGCTTTATGTGACCAACGTGGTCACAATCAAAAACTTTTTTTAATCCGCCGATATTGCGTGGGCACCACTTTTTCGAACGTTTCCTCTTCCACCTTTGACTCTTCCAGCATTCCACTTTTGGCAAAACGCTCCTTTCCAGTCCTCCTTTCTATGCAGCTTCTCCTTCGCATCAATCAATGTGATGCAGTTTGCATTCGATAACTTCAATTATATTTCGACGTCAGAATACTGAAAAGTATCGCGGGCTGGCGCGACTTGTCAACCCGTTATCCCATTGTCTGAAGACCCACAACTAGTTCTTCAAAAGAGTATAGTTAATCTGCCATACTTGTGCAACCTATGCTTTGAAGATGTGAAGTCATCGCGTTATTGCTACGCGATTGTGCAATTCCGAGATATTGTAGAAATCGCGTTGCGTTCCCGATGTCTCAATGGCACTCGTGGTCGGCCTTATCTTGAGATCCCAACCCTTGCGCAATGATATACAATGCCTTCGTGTCGATCAAATGCCACGTCTCTGTGATATTGCTCAAATCCTTGATGGCCATGACATGCCCCACAAGACCCTTGCTCGCCAGAGTAATCCTCGTATTGAATTCTTAGTGATAGTAATTACCATATCCCGTAGGACTTCGAAGCACCTGTTCGCCATCGTGTACTCGGTCGTCGCAGTAAAAGAAGGCTTGCGGCTGCTCAATTGTTGAATTGATGGTAAAACCCATAGTGAAAAGGAGGGGTATGGATACTGGCCACAGTGTACCCTAAGCACAGTGACCTCAAACTTTGTGCTTCGAGAGATTCAAACCCTTGATCACGATACACTCATTTAATGTTTGCTGCGTAAAACTTGTCTTGTGGTATGCACCGGGGAATAATCGCACGTCTTAAACAAATGTGTGAACAAGCATTATGAACGCTATACGAACATGGTAGCGGATCTGTGTAATATCGTTCGGCTCAGTACCCACGGGATTAACTTGTATTGAACAAGTAGCCTACGAATGCATCAGAATAACCGAATAATGACGCCTCCTAAACTTATCATCTGCTTCAATAGCGTTTGAAACTATTCAGGGTGGCAGTTGGGATGATAAGACTAAGATAAGAATAATAATCTAGAAGTTGTCGGTAACACGCATGTAGGTAGGTAATAAATAGTCTCAGCGCACGTGTGGAAATCTATGCGCGCCGATTTTCTCAATCTGTTTGTGACAATAAAGGTAAGCATAACAGGCTTCAACTTCTGCTAGGTTCAGAGCGGACCAACGCTAATGAGTAAATTGCAGTCGCGAACATGATGACTCATAGACGATTGCATTCCAGCATCTCACCTCAAGTCTAAAGAGTCGGAAATGTATGTTGGTACTTAAAGTGTCGTAGCAGATAAAAGTTTCATCCCAAGATCAACGTAAGGTCAACATCTCAAGGTCTGTCTCAAGTTTCAAACATGTTTATATTTCAAGACACAAAAAGACGACGAAAACTCATAGAATGTCATGTTATAATCACGAAGAATGTAGTGAAACAATTGAATAATCAAAGAATATTTGATAGAAATGGTTTATGCAAAATATTCAATTTCATTCTGATTTGTAGCATAATATCATGTGGTGACCTTGTGCATTGTCTTTATTTCTGTCGTCTACTTGAATCCGGCTAAATACGATAAATCGCAGGGATTTTCCTTTGAATATCGGGCCAAAGAAACATCCGTTTCAAGAGATGGTTGCATGGAACGGCTCGATTGTGTATAGCGCGTTCTGTCTACAAAATCGCAGCGGCTGGCTGCCCGAGGTCTTGATTCTATGAATTCCATCGATTGAACCGGAATAGCGTTAGTTGTATAACGTCGCAACCTGCAATTCATTTCGTCGAGATCTACACCCACCAAAGCAACATTGACTGACTCCTCCTTTAAAGCATTGGACTTGTGATGCACATCCTTCCATGGTGCACAACTTGTTGGTTTCGCTCTTTTCGATAGTCTTGAATTGCCCGTTGTTCGACTTCGATGACGCCCAACAAAGTCTTTCTCCTGTCCCATTCCTGAATGTTGACTTGTAGCACGCGAACTACAACGTTTTCGTTGTGCTTCTGCATTGGGCATGAAAAATGTCTGTTGTGGGACGACTGCATTTAAAAGACATTAAGATTAGCAGACAATCACAATATTTCTTCGCTCCATATACATACACTCTGAGCTTCTTGACGTTGGTTTTGAAATTTGCTGTTCCTTACTCTGTGAAGTTGCTGGTTGCTGAGGCCACGTTTCTAGTCTTTTTGGCTTGTCCTGGGCTACACCTTGTGATGGTGTGCCAACGTCGTCAAACCACTTGGGACATTGCTCGATGTCAAAGGAAGAAATGCTTTTATCCCGCAGTCCATCGTCATGGTTCATATCCATGACAGGTCCGTTATTAAGCGCGTAAAATTCGTCACTGATTTCCATTGTCTGCGAAATCTTTTTGCCGCGTCGGTGTGAGCACGCAAAACATGCTACTTGTCCTCTAGTAACTCCATCAATACGATAATTACGTACCACGATGTCGCTACATTTATCACACAAGTACTGCAACACGACATAGTTAATTTCACTGGGCATACATAGTTGATAAATTTCAACGGACGTACCGATCCACACATGACACAATTGTTTTTAAATTTCCACATGGAAAGATAATTTGCGCACGCAGTACAGCGTTTCTCGCCTTGTAGCTGCAACGCTCTTGTGAGTGAAATTTTCTTTGACCTAAGAATCATGTGGGACATCTTTAAATAATGATTGAGAAGTTCCACAGTCCGTTTTCCACGTGCTTTTTGAACCATTGGCATCAAGACAGATGAAGCCGTGCTACTTTTAATGTTGTAGAATGCCGTGGCATTTAATACACCCAATTCGTCTGTTTCCTCAAAAAATAGCCCGCAGTACAAAAGCTCGGCTCGTATCACATGACTCTTGGGCTCTGGACATGCTTTGTGTTCGATCGAGTGCGATACTCGAGCCCAACCACGACGTCCGTCCTGGGTCCCGTAAGGTTTCATAACTTCGAGGTAGCAATAGTCTTGGTCTTGAGCCAACAAGCGACTTGGTGTACGACTAAGTGACCACCGCAGACTCGTGCGATTACGTGGACGCTCTGGTGTGGGGGGCTTAAGCACGACAATGTCCAGTGACTCGGAATAGTCCAGCACCATCTTTTTCTCGTCATTTAAAAACAACTCCGTAACTTCGTCCAGAGAGCCAAAGACAGTTAACGTGTCAAGTGTCGTCACAAGTTTGTCCTTGTTCTCGGTAATTCGTTGCCTCTTGGCATCATAAAGCCGCTCTTGGACCTCAAGGAAGATGTGATCACCCTGTTCAATTAAGTTAAGTCTCTCTCGTTCCGAGAGGGTGATGCTTACCATTGTCGCTCACTCTAATTATGAGTGCAAATAGGTCAGTCTGGAAGAGCAAATCCCACGAAACGAAGAGGTGGTAGTGACATTCATCGATAGTGCAGAATGGACAAAACCTCGAGACACAAGCGGACGGGAGCTTCCGGACGTAATTAAGATCCAGTTTAAATATGTGTTGCAGATCACAAGGTTAGCACAGTCAGAACTGTCCTTCCTCAGGCAATCAAGAAAGCACAATAAATGCACTCGCATTAGCACGCACGAAGTTGGCTACTGTAAGGCTGGGTAGAGACCAGATTATCTGGCGATGCATGCCGAATAAAAGAGCCTTAACATTGCTAACAACGTAATCAAAGGTTTTACCAAACTTATACATATTATGTATTAAATGTTATTTATGGGACGCTTTGAATACAAACTTAATAATTCTTCGTCGCAATTGTAAAGTGAACATGACAACAAGTCATCACAAATGTGATAAGGTCAACCAATGATAGAAGGCATGAGCTTGCCATCTAACTTGGTAAATGAGGTACCTTAACCGGCTCAAATCCAATTCTCTTCACTGAGCGGCTCGCTGCTGAGCGATTCGCGCTCCTGCCGAGCACTACTGGCTTTAATAGAGCGCAGCATACGATACTGCTCTTTAATGCGATCGTGATGCTTTTCGTCGTCACTGTCACCCTCGGCTTCAGCCATAGCGCGTTGCAATTGTGTCAGCTGTGCGATCCTCTCAAATAGAATTCGGGCGGGTAGAGGCTGATGATGCTCTGAACCATCATCTGAAGCGTGCTCAGAGATCGTTGACGCGCTTAAGTCGCTAGCGCACATGAAAGAAGATTGAGGATTAAAGCTTCTTCGCCCACCGTAAGGCCTGACGTCGTCATCGTCACTGTCAAGCTCGGACAAATCCATTTCCTCAGGAGTCAATACAGATGCAATCGACTCACGACACTCCTCCTCCAACTGGCGGATCCTGCGGCGTAATTTTTCCATGTCCACCTGGTGCTTAGACTGGACTTCTTGCATGATACTTGAGGAGCGCCACTGAATTTCATCACCCTCGGTGCGATACCCAGGATACATAGATCGACCCGGTTGAAACGCGCTGCCGAGCATACTTTCATTAAAGTTGGACAGGCGGTCACCTAATTGGTCCAGAGCGATTCGGTTCAACTCCTCCATACGACGTAAATGGCTCGCTTCGAGCTTGTGCATTGTGTCCGAGGGATCTTGTTTATTAGCGCTGTTACTAGGTCGATTGGCGTGAATTATGTCAAATAGCTCGATCGTTGGGCGATTCATTAATTCCTCGTCCAAAGAGGACACATTTGAATCGCGTGAAGAAGCCAATCGCTCGGAAATCTCGCTGCTTTTGAAAACTAACGACTTTGTCTGATCCTTACCGAAACTCTCGTGAAGGTCTGACGTGTCGCGCGGTGAGCGTGTATCTTCTTCAAGTTCATTCACCTGAGCAAGCTGCTTACTTTTAAGAAAAGAATTATAGCTTTTTCTGGAAATCGCTTCTACTCCACTGTCGCCCCCATCCGGAATAAGCTTGGAGGTGAGCAGCTGAAACTTAGATCCACTTGTCTCATGATCAGCTTGCTGTTCGCTTGCGCGGATCATGGAGTCTGCATCTTCTGGTTCCAAATCAGAGCTCGATACCGATTCACACTCACTTTCGTGCTTCAGCGATTCTTCACTCGATCTGTACACGGATTGGATAGACTCGTGCGCACTTGAACGGCGAGCTTCGTTTTGCTCTAGAGACTTTTCACTAAGACGGAGCCGTTGGGAATTCCGATAATCTTTGCTTGAGCGACGCGATAAAGTGAGTCGCCGAATGGGCCCGTGTTCATTCGATGTCTCGCTTAAGCGCTGGTCCGACTTCCTATACTCGATCTCGTAATCATAACCTAATGCTTGCTCGCTTTGACGGTGTGGTGGTGTAGTGAGTCCACTGGTTTGATCGACGCTTAAGTAGCTATTGCGCTCCGGTTCAATCTCTAAGTGATCCTCGCTTTCACAACCAGATGAGGTTCTCACGCTCGAGCGACGAGGGGGCGTACTTAGACCACTCCCTCGCGACTCCATACTTTGGCGACGTGGAGTTTTGTATCCATTTCTGTGACCCTCATTGGAAGAGTTGGACGAAATTGGACCGAAGTGGTGGTCTAGCTTTTCCCCGATGAAGTCGCTCGCTGATTCCACGCTTGATTGGTCTGCGAAAACCAAATAACTACTTTCAGGCTCAGCAAATTCACTGCTCTGGCGTCTTGGTGGTGAATCATATCCACTTTTCCGCTCCAGGGTAGAGTTTGTTGACAGCTCACTCGAGCGGGGCGATGCATCTCTCGGTATACCCTCGTATTCATGATCTAAGGAACTCTTACTTGAGTTACGCGAAACTTCAGCATACTCATCTTGCTCGTCCTTACTCAAACGACGTGATGGAGTTGTGGTATTATTGGCAAAGTTTCCCGTATGACACACGTATTTGTCGCTCTCAAAGTGCTGTGACATTTCTTTAAGCTCTTTGGTTGAATGACGAGAAGGATTCATTAGAGAGTCCATCGGTCGGTCCTCATCTTCTGCCGATTTCTCGCTCGGTCGAAACGCTAAAGTATCCACTTCGTCTTTATAAAAATCAGACTCATTTGTCTGGCGTGGCAAATGAGATTTGTCGTTATACTCTTGTATGACAGTCACATCTGAACGTGATGACAGGACTTCAGATGCGTTCACCTCGACAAAATCGTGCTCACTAGGGTGAATTGTCATATTGTCTGGCTCATCCTCTTGCTCCAAATCATTAATTGAGCTGCAAGATAGATCGGCTGTACGCGCGACCTCTTCGCGCTTGCAAAATGAGGCGTCGGATCCATTGAGGCTTTCACGCTGCTCGTCGTCATCACTTTTTGTGCCCGGTCTTTGCTCCATTTCCTCCAGCGCAAATGGGAATGTGCCGCTTCGCTTGATACGCCTAGGAGGTCGGTTTTCGAAGTCAAAGTCTTCATCATCAATATCGACAGAACTGGCAGAGCTGGCAAAGCTATTAGACCTGGTACCAAACTCATTATTTGAATACTCCGTGAGGCTGATGGAGCTATCATGAAGGCCGACATACGTTGATGTACTGTCTCGTTCGCTGTCGTTCTCATCATGATTGGCTGCTAGCTTTGATAGTTCGTCCATTCGCTTGCGATGCTCTTCCTGCCTCATCTGCAGTTCTACCAATTCACGGTTTTCTTCGTCCGGGAGTTTGTTTGCAGCACGTGCTCTTGCTCTCATCGACTTTATGTGTTCCGCCAAGCCTGACGAGTGGGTTAAAACCTCCTCATCCAGAAGAGAGTCGCCTAAACTGCTTTGTAAACTTGGTCTTTCCATCATTGTGATATCATGTGGGGATTCGCTAGGATTCTCTAAAATGGCAGTACTACTCGAAAATTTGAATTTATTCACCGAGAGCTGCGATAAGTCAAAAGCAAGATTGCCTCGGTGGCTAGATCTTGGAATACTGGGGCCTTGAGACGCGCCTAAACGTTTGCTATTACGTGTGCTCGCGACATTTGAAGCCTGAGACAAACGTGATTGTCTACTTGACGAGTGTGATTTAGATGTGAGTCTGTCACCCTGCGCTGAATGCGCCACACTTATTAAAGCCCCTAATTTAGAATCCCCACTGTCAGTGACATCCGGCGGGTTTGAGGTAACATGTCTATCGGCAATGTTGATGCTCGGAGCCGTGGATTGCGAGAGATTTTCACGTGACGAGCGGTCGGCTTGGCGGTTGAGCAAAGAGTTCGGCAGAGGTAATGGACGGTTACGCATGCTAGGTGGAGTTCCGGGCGGTGAACCAGGCGGGAGGACGGAAGAGGTACGGGAGACTGCGCGTGATCGACGAGTGCTTAGGCGGGTCTGCTGTGGATCTTTTTGGATGGCACGACTACCACGATCACTCTGCACACCTCGTTTTGACGAGGCATGACTCGCCATGGATCGCCGAATTGCCTTATCAGTGGCCTGTTCCTTGATTTTCTCGATCTCGCGCATTCTATTATGATGATCCTGTTCTACACACTCTGAGACTAAAGACGGTCGTTCGCTATCAGGCGTATATTGAAGCGTCCGAACGCGGTTGCGGCGCATTTGTTCCAAAATCGCAGAAGATCGGATATTGTTTCGCGTAGAGTCTTGTGAGCTTGTATAAGAACCAATCGAGTCTCTGTTGGTCTTTGCGACGCTAGAAGCCTTCGTTTGGGACTTCTGAGAAACACGATTTGACGACCGAGAAATTCTGGATGGCGGAGGGGTGAACATTTTTCGCGCAGTGATGCCTTTTGGATTTCTGCTATTAGACTTTTCCGACCCCAAAGTGTGGAGACGCGAAGAAAAATTGTTTTCATCCCCATTTTCCATTGGTGATGATAATGGCGGGGGAGGTGGAGGCGGAAATTGACTTTTTACCCCATAGCGTGCCGAGTGCGCCTTTGCAAGACTTTGTATCGATACAGTCTTGCTACCTTGGCTAGAGTTTGAATATTGACTACCTTGACTAGAACTACTGTGACTTCCTTGAGATGACATGAATTCCTTCGTTGCTTTAAATTCATTTCCACTGTAAGAGCTTCCTGAGGCTTTAAAATCCGAAACTTGACTCGAGTTGTAGTTGGTGCTCTGAGTAGAACTGTAATCGCCGTAATGCGCCTCTAACCTGCCATCGTGGCCACTGTGACTGGAAGGTTCGTCCTCTAAAATGGGGGCTGCATTGTACCATTGCTTCCGACGATCGGCATGGCTAGCGCTATTCTCCTTCCTATGGTTCTTTGACCCGTACATATCGCTGCCCACTGGAACGAAAGCCTGCGAATCGTGATTATAGTACGTGGGTTTAGCGCGATGCCACGCAGCCTTGCTAGCCGTGGTGCTGTCACCTTCCCAATCGGAAGAGCTCGTACCACTGACGCCACTAATATAGCTGCTTTCGCTGGAGCCGCCATCGTAATATTGACTTTCATCCATTTCACTAGAAGCGTCGAACTGGCTGGAACCATCAAATTGCGAATCAAAGTGATATTTCGAGGCATTGAAGTGACTAGGGACCATAGAATCGCGACTGGCGTCTGTAAATCGAGACTGGGCAAACACACTGTAGTCTGATTGTTCTTCAAGTCCATCCTCGCCGCCATCTTCATTCATGCTGCCCTCATCTTCTCCATGATACAAATTTAGGTGCTCGTCATGGTCTTGCAAAATATCCGAATACCGCGTGTTGTTTTGCAAACGTCTCGAATTTATTTCGGGCTCGTATTCCTCACCACGAGATGTGTTATAGCACTTAGTACACACGCGCGTTTTTGCTGGTCCGCGTGCAGTAGAAATCAGGACCTGTGGTGCGCACGGGTGACACACGACTTCCCCGCACACGCGGCATCGCGTCTTACGTACAAAGAGCGAAAATTTGCGCGAACAATTGGCGCACAAAGCTCTTGCTCGCTTCGGCATCAAATCTTCTTTTCTTAGTAACGTCTGTCGTCCCATTCTCGAGGTCTGAATGTGTCGGCTAATAGTCACTACAGAAGAAATGCGCTGTTTTAAAGTAGAGTTAAGCAAGAAATGTGGCAATCGACTGGAGCTTTTGAAGTTGATTTGTAAGCTGTGCATCACATCCATGTATCCATCCTTCTCGGCTTCGACAAACACGTAACCAGACTGATACATACTTCCTCTCACTACACCTTCCACTTCAGGACAACTCGGCAGCTTAATCGAGTGCATACTAAGCACCCACCCTCTGCGTCCTGACGCATGTCGGAACGTGTTTTGGCACTCAAGAAAACAGTAGTCGCGATCACGAGAAAAAGCTGAAGGACCCTCATACAACAGATACTTAGCTGACACCCGGTAGAACAAATTTTTGGGGTCACCGTACACTAGAGAGTAGAGCACGCCGCAATCTAAAACGTCTTCCGCCTTTTTGGCTACCATGTCCTCTGTAGTTTGCTGATCGAAGTAGCCAGCCACTTCCTCGATGGAACCTATCATAGTCGTCACTCCGCATAAGTATTCAGTGCCGGTCGCGCCCATATTGTCATAACTTCCTTCTCCACGGTACATCTGAATGCCGCGAAACTTTCCTGTATAGTGCCATTGCACAGGACCGTCCAATGTGTGCGCATGATCGACAAGCGCCACAGATGCCTCCTTAGCCTTGCGGATCATGTAAGCACGCTCACTGGTGGTCAGTGGCGGGGGCTGCCAATATTCGTTCCTAGAAGTTCCCGATGCGCCGCTCTGTGCGCGCCTTCGACTTAAGCTACGCGCTCTGCCCATGGTCTCTCACAATAATGGATTGAAGGTAGAGGAATGCGGAAGTGATCTGAGTGCGGACAAACCTAGATGGAGCGACAGGGGAGGTGATGTGAGGTTCACTTCTATCGTTTCGCACGCAAAATGATATGTTTACTTGCACTTTTCGAAGAAAGCCAGCAGGTGGAAACTCTCAAGTGTCTGGTACAGTGGTGTAATGGTATGAGATCGACCTTAACCAGTGCTGCTGTCGCGCGCTCTCGCTCTTTGCGACGCCGTGGGTCTTATACAATTGCACAGAACCGGCTGGGATCGTAAATTACCAGTGATGACCAGCCAGTGGAAAGTACTGCGCCAGTCGAGCATTTTGATTGGCGTTTTTAGTGCAGAGTGTAAGCTGAATGGATGCTCGATCGTCTGTTTGCACCATAGTCTCTATGTTGAGTCAAACGTTAAAATTGGATGTTAAATATGTATAAAAATTGTACAATTATATACAGGTCTCCGTGGCCCCGCTCATCTGACGACCTGCATTCCCTAAGCACGAGAGCATGGTGACGACACTTAGATCGGCATGGTAAGCTGACTTTCGACTGCTGCCGGCATTCCATCAAAAATCCGTGATTCACCATAGTCCAATCAGCAAGCTAGAAGCGGTATAGTGCTGCTATCACCGCCATCTTGGGCTTCATTGGACCTTGAAGCGTCCAAGACAATTTTAATTGCGATGCCGGTACAGATTTACTTGAGGACGAACCACTTGCAGCTTCTGTTGTGAATACGTGCATTATCGTGGATTATATCACACTGGTGTTCCTTTAGACTAAATTTGATGACTAAAGTATGATAAATATCATGACAAGTACTCAGAAGTGACGATCACTGTAAAGAAGAGGTCCGTGGGACACTTCCCCGTACAACAAATTCCTCCTTTGTAAATGGTTATACAGATTTATCTGCACCGGAATTGTCGTGCACTTCGCATAGATAAAGCATTGATACCGTGAGTCAACGTAAACAAGCGCACAGAAAATGGGGAGTGGAACCAAAAACCTCTCAAGAAAGGAAGCCTTATTTGGTCAAACTTAGTTTTGGGACCGTCATAAATAACAGAAAATCAATACGTCTGACTTACTATGAACAACAGTAGAAGTCCATATTGGCTGACAGCATCCCGGACCTATCCTTAATGTTTACCAATATTTGTCATGATATTTATGACTATGTTCATCAAGCCGGTGTGTGCGAGCCTTCCGCTCACACCAGGAGCAAAAATGACGACAAAAGCTGAACCGCAAAAAAAAAATTTAACGCACAGATCATCACTCACCACATGTGCCGGGTCCCTTTACGAAGAATATACCCTGTTATTTTGGGTCTGGCGAAAGTGCCGATGAACATCAAGCTTAGTTCGCGCACTGGAAGAGTAGATCACACGGCTTCACTCGTTTGAAGGCTGTACAAGTCAGCCCCAATGAAGCATATGTCCAACTTGAGTATCGACTAATACCTGACTTTGCCAAATAAAGAGCACGCCGCGGACATGAACTTCAAAGCTCATCAACGCCAATCCTTACTGTTACCAGCCTCGGTTGACTCTAGGGAACAGCTGTTATTGCTATCGAGCCCACAACATGGCCGCTTCTCACTTACGATTTGAAAGCGAGCTGTGACGGTAGACCTTGACTGAAAAAAATTGTCCAGGATCTGTTAGATCGTTAAGTGAAAATTGTGGCAACGGCCCTAAAGCAGTTTTGCCGAAGTGGGGGCTCAGACTTATTGCGTTTATTCAATTAATAAGAAACCTCTCTGCCTCTTCAGATTCTGGTAATAGTGCTACTTACCCACTTGCTCACTAAACGATCCAATTATGGGCTACCGGCTTCGTTCTACCAAGTCGCATCGGATGTGTTCGGAAAGTGTCTCGA